GTTCGACGGTCCCATTGGTCTAAAATTCCTCATGTGGGGGGCGTGGGGCGCTTTTCATGTGTTCAGGTGGTGCTCTTCGCGGGGCCACGAAAAGCGCGAGGGGTGTGCCATATCGGGTGCGGGGCCGCCATGCGAACGCAGCTGCTGAGGTCTTCAATGGAGCTTCCTATGGGGCTACGGAATGTTTTTTTTTGGGGGGGGCCGTATCGGGTGCATCACCGCCATGGTAGCTAACGCAGCCACTTTGGCTTTCGGCGGTGGCTCCGATGGAGCCAGGAAGCGTGTGGGGGTGTGCGATCATCGCATGATGGTGGCGATGGGGATGTGCGGAGGGCAGAGACAGAAACGGGAGGAGGGGGGGAGGAGGGAGGAGGAGGAGGAGGAAGAAACGGCGGGGATATGTCTCTTCAACATTAGGGCGCAATACCACATTATGGTTTGTGGAACACAAAAACAGCTATGGTATCATCGCCCCGTGTGTTACCATCTCATAGGTTGACAGCGTTTGGGCTCCAGCTTGTTCAATACGTCTTGTGGTCCGTCGTTGGTAACTTGCTTTCGTGAGGCGTCTTAGTTTGATATGTTGTTGCCCTCCCTTCGCCGCTCTGCCACGTCGGGTCGTTTTGGCTAGCTCCTCAGCCCCAGTCGACTCCCAAATATGAAGCCTGCAATACTCGGGCTAGGTGAATCCCATGCCGCCGCAACCGCATAACAGCTTCACGAACAACAGGGTGAGATGAATTGAGTACCGCGCTGTTGCTTACCACCCCGAGCTGTCTACCACGAGTGATATGCGTCACTTTTTTAACTCGGATCTTTTCTGCTTGACGTGGGCATACGATCGCCCATCCAGATCCTTTCGCCAACGGATTGATCGGGATGCTTGGCTGTCAATTTGCTGAATATAGAATGGGTTCCACGATTAGCACACCTCGTGCGATCCCAGAGTTCTGCATAATGTTGTTGCCTGATTGGGGGCGCCAAGGGATGTGAACCACAGTGGCTAAACATGCGCGGTGCTATGCGCAAGTGTGGTTGCAGCGCCAGCATCACCCGTTGAACACCTAGTCGCAATGCTGTGAGCACTAGCCGGCCCTATGGGATGGGATTTTTTCAATCCTGAATATCCAGACTAGTCTTCACGTGTGTCATGCCCAAGCTGTCGTAGACAAATTCCATGGTCGCCAAGGAAGCTTCCCGAAGAGCTGTTTCCCCGATTACCGCCGCATTCCAGGAAGCCCGTGTGTCAACCGACAATTCGTTGGCTAGGTCATCTCGGGCTAACGACCACACGCGACAGGTCATCGCCAATAAGCCGATAACCCAATCGCCCCGATTTCTCGGCCAGGCGTCTCCCGAGAAGCACCAACACCTGCCCAGGCCAGGTAAGGTATCTCTCGATGGACCCACAAGCAGACACCATCTTTCCCAAACCAAATAACGGAGCTAATCTATCCCTCAGCCTGTTCTGGCTTTCGTACCCCGTGAAGCTTGCCGTAACCCTTGAACTCCCAGAGATGTAGGGTCAGCGCATTCAGCTTCGTGCCGAGTCTGTTGAATCATATTGGACGCCACACCCCGACTGAACGTGGGCTCGCTTCACATGGCCTGGTACTTCTTAGCCTTTGGTCTACAGCACTCACTGGGTGAAAACAACGACGTCCGTGCTCACGGGTTTCGTCGGGCGGAGCTGGATAGTATGCAGAATGTGGTGTTGGCGAGTTGCAGAATTTGGCGCAGGACTTGTCTGTGTGGCATGACTACAACGGCGACTCCGTGAACGGGACCACGGCGCTCGATTGAGCATTGTCTGGGTGCCCCCCCCCCCCGCAGGCCTTCAACGGCACTTGATCCTTGCTTCTTGCTCCTTGCTCAAGTGATCCGCTTTAACCGTCCTAAAAGACACAAGATGCCGTAGACAATGCGCCCGCGCTTCCCACGTGGTTGCTCTTGGAATCTGCCTGATGGGTCAGTGAGCTTTCTCGGGGACGTCGTTTGCCAAGGCAACACCTGAACGAATGATCTGCTCTATGTGTTGGTGGCCTGTCCTTTCGGGAAGATGCTGGCTCGCACGATGAAGAAGGATTTGGGTCGACATTGAGCCTTCCCATGCCAATTCCCGACCTATGTTTGGTGCACCTCCTGTGCAAGCCGAGCCCCCGTCGAACAAGGGATGTGCCTACATGCTGGTTCGCTGGACTCCTCCGTCGTGATGTGCTCTGATCGTGCGCACCACCGTCTGACCTATGCCGCGAATTGACCACTCGCGCGGGTCGGATGTTGACCCCAATTTGAAACGCAGGAGGGTCGCACACAGCTTCTTTGGCATTGCTCAAGTCTTGAGGCACGGGGGCCACTTTAGCCTTTGATGGCATTGCCAAATAGGGTCAGACATGCAGAAGGGATGGGGAGCCGTCGGTGGGGCCTTCAGAGGCAACTTCGGGGGCACGTGCGCCAACTCATGGGAATCTGAACGGGGGGGGGGACGGTTTGCATGCATTATTGTTATCGCCTGTTGCTTCGTCACGGCTGCTGACCGCAGCTGGCTCAAACAAACATCTAAGCCCTTCCGACCAATGCGTGTCAGCATCTCCAGCCAAGTTGTTATTGTGCTTGGGTTGGCTCGACTTACTTTCTTCTCCAGTTTGTGGTGTGGGCCGAGGGACTCGGGGCAATCTGGCGGGGGTGACTGAGCTCCTGGTGGGTAATTGTTTGCCCTCCCGTGCCAGAGATAAGATTAATCCACAGTGAATCCCCCGAGGGACATCCAACATGGGACCGAACCACCTGAAGTATGTTGGTTGTTTTGGTAAATTTTATGTAGTCTATGTGCGAGTTTCCTGTCCCTTGTGACGCAAGTTTGCTCGATTGCACTTTGACGCACCACGCCACCAGTAAGGTTTAGAAAACGACTTGGAAGCAATTGCTGAAAAGGGATACGTGCAAGTCGATTAAAATCAGGCAAGGATTTTTGAGAGCATCGACGAACGCTCCCTACAACCTCTTGAGGAACGAGCAAGTAAATCAACACCTGCGCCACAGAGTAGCCTTGTATATGCACAGCGATGGGAAGACATCCGTCGAACGCGTTGCCCGAGGAGATATTTAGGTCAGGAAGCTCCGCCGGGGCTCCTACATGAAAAGTTTGTACTGGAAATGCGCCTCCTCCCTCGTTTGCTCGGGCACTCGGCTCGACGGATCTATCTCGCCCAGACGGCCGCGCTGGGTAAACAGTTGGTTTGAAACGCAAGATGCGCGCTTCCTTTGGCCAGTGCTCAATCGAGGACTCCCTAACATGAGACCCGACAAAGAACCAGGCCTGGGATCTGTCCTCATAGCGTGTTCTCACTGCGTAATGCTACTGTATATCAGCGGTGCCTGGCGAGCCTGAGGTCTTCGCCAGGCTAGGTCGAAGGAGGTGCTGAAAGTGATGTCCTTGCCTCTGGGCCACCGGCACCCTGCGGTGGTTCGCCAGAGGGTAGTCACGAATTTGACCTTGAAGCCGATGACGCTGATTGTGGGTCCTTACCAGCGCTCTGTCTAGATCACTTGTTTTGTGTCGCTAGCTTGGCTGCTGCTGCCTCAGCTGCTGCCGTCGCTGCCTGAAGCTTGACTGCGTTCAGACTTTCAGCCTCAGCTCGAATGGCGGCTTCGGTGCTGGTATAATTGCTTGCTGGAACTGACCCCTTCGAAACAGCCGTACTATCTCCTTGAGCAGCACCTCGATCAGATTATGCTTGACTCTCGCCTGGCGCATTTGTATGTTTCTTTTCCAAGTGTTTGTGCGACGCTTTTGGGTCTGTTTCTTCTTGTCAAACTACCGCTCGGCATCTGGCGACTTCGCGTCGATGGAAGCCTTTACCTTAACTAACTCCCACGTAACGTCGTGAGTTCAACGCGCTCGTTCTCTTCGAGCCCGACGTTCTTGTCCATAGTGCTGAGAAGGGTCTCGTCTCAAGACAGGTTGAGGAACATCTCCACTGTGTTTTTGGGGGCGGACTGCTGTCCACCTTACTCTGCTGGACGCCGATAGCTGTCAGAACTCGCACGGCCTTCCTGAACTGCAAATGCTCGCGCAGCCAACCCTCTGCTGTTCTGTTCTCGGCCTCCGCTGGCGTGGTGGTTGTTTATCTTCTGATCGTTCGAGTTGCTGCCTCGTTGTAGCTACCGTGTTGGTAGCTTGGTCGTGCTTGTAGCTTGTGTCGTTGACCTCCGCTGCTGCGCGCCGTATGGTCTCCTCTGGAGGCAAACTCGCTGCCCGCCGACATCATCTGATTCACTTGGTGCTGTAGAACCAGTATGAGGCCTGTAACTGCCACCACCTGAAGAGCTCGCTCGAGAATGTGAGGAGGACCGCCTGTGACTGACGAGGCTGGAGCACCTGCAAGCGGAGTGTGTGTGCCTTCTTCGAGTCCGGGGACATATTTATCCTACAGCGGCACCGCATATGCAGTTTTTCCATTGAGGTTTGAGGACAGAGTTCCGTTCGCATGCGCCACACTTCGCGCAATTCGCCTTCAAAGAAATGCCCGTGAATGATTTAATGATATGTTTTTGTCCCTGAGGATTTCTTGCCATCCATCCAGCCCATTTCGCCAACGCAGCACTATGTCGAGAGACTGGACACTAGCTGTGTGCCTCCCAGGTATCACGAGGATGTGGGACGGACTCGGGCCTGCTGCCAACGTGGTCTTGAGTCAAGCTTTCCCTTAGCCAACGTGTCTATGGGAAAGGTTAAAGGGAGGGTGAGGCACAGGAGGAGGATAGGAGGAGGAGGATAGGAGGAGGAGGAAGAGGAGGAGGAGGAGGAAGAGGAGGAGGAGGGGAGGAGGTGGAGGAGGATGAGGAGAGGAGGAGGAGGAGGGGGAGGAGGATGACGAGGAGAAGGAGGAGGAGGAGCAGGAGGAGCAGGAGGAGGAGGGGGAGGAGGACGATCGACGATGAGAAGGAGGATGAAGGGATAGATGCAGCGTTGCGGTAGCTCCGAGCTTCCTTGTGAGGTGTGCATCGCCCTCTTCCAGTTCCCCCCCGACAAGGGCAACGTGGGCACCGCGGCGTACCTGGACGTGTTCGGGAGTATTTTCTCCGTCCTCCAGGCACACCCGGCCGTCAGAAGAACGACATGGGCAGAGGATGATGAAGAGGGAGGGGGTAGGCGGAAGGAGAGGGGCAGGACGGACATGTATGGAGTACGGAGTGGGAGGGACGAGGGAGGAGGACAGGGAGGATACAGTATGGATGATGAGGATCGATGGCTGGGGGAGGAGGGCGAGGCTCATTGATGAGACATGAAGATGAGGAGGAGAAAGTTGGATGGCGAAGGGACTCTTAAATTGTCTAGGCGACTCTTCGGGGCTCTTTTAGGTCTGATACCAGGGATGATGATGAGGATGAGGATGATGATGATGATGAGGAGGAGGAGGAGGAGGATGAGGAGTACTATGATGAGGAGGATGGGGAGGAGGATGAAGAGCAGCAGTATGAGCATCACGAGTATTATGAGATTATCATTTTTTATCATGCTGAAGAGCAGTGTGAGGAGTAGCAACACGAGAGGACCAGGCGGAGGAGTGGAAGGACAAACAGGACGTACAGTGATGCGGCCTAAGGGCGCATTGTCCCCGGTAGTGGGGCCAGCTCCCTGGGTACAACACCTTGGCAATCACGGTGGTCGGAAACGCCCATCGTGGTTATGCAAGGCCAGCCCAAGCAGTTGGCAATCCGAGGATGAATGCGGGCTTCCCAGTGGCACCGCTGGCTTACTTCACTGACCTTGTCCTGCCTTAAGATCGTATTACCTGAACCTGAATGCCCAATTGGGCAATGCGTCCTGGCCGCTATCAGGCCCAGGACGAACCGTGGGAAAGACCCATGGATTTCCCCCGGGCCTTCCTGGGAAACGGTTTTGTTTCATCAGAGGTGGCCCGTGTACCCATTGCGGGTTCGGGCGTCTTGGCCGAGGATAAGACGAATTCGAAGATTCCAATTCGTCTACCGCTGTGCCAACAGGAGCCCGCGTGGGGGTGGGGGGGAGGAGGAGGCAGGGAGGAGGAGGAGGAGGAGGAGGAGGAGGAGGAGGGAGGAGGAGGAGGAGGAGGAGGAGGAGGAGGAGAAAGATGACGACGACGACAACGAGGACGACGACCACGACGACGACCACGACGACGAGAAAGAGGAGGACACGGAAAAGGAAGACGATGAGGTCAAGGACGAGGACAATGTCGAGGAGGAGGAGGAGGAGGAGGAGGAGGAGGAGGAGGAGAACAACGAGGACGATGACAGAGCCTTCAAAACAGCCTTTTGGAGCCCTCTTTTGACTCGTTCGGGGGATCTTGGGATCCTGGTGTGGCTCTTCTGTGGGGTCTTTGGGCCCTCTTGGAGCCCTCTTGGTGGCCCTGTAGGGCCTCTTGGATCCTGGAGACCATCGGTCAATGGGGGGGGGGTCACCAGTGACCCTCCCCACCCTGGGGCCATCAAAATCGTCTGGGCCCTCTTGGGGCGATTTTGGGCCTTTCTTGGGCCATCTGGTGGCCGTCTTGTGGGCCTCCTGGGTCCCTCTTTGGCCTCTCTTGGGCCATCTTGGGGCCATCTTGAAGCGCATCGGACGCGAAACGGCGAAAAGGCAAACACCATTGGTGTTCCTGAGTGTTTGAAGGGTTTTGGCCTCCTTGGGGGGGAGATACTGATGGGGGCTCCGAGAGCACTTGGAACCGTCTTGTGGCCCTCGTCGGGCTTCTGAGAGGTATGCCGGAAGCTATCTTAAGCAATCTTCAGTTATTTTAAGCCGCCTTAAAAGCCATCTTCGAGCAACGGATGCCCTCTTGGAGCCACCTTGGGCCGTCTTGGGCGCTCTAACCGATCGCGAGCCCCCTGGCCCAGACCCAGGGAGGGGGGGGGGGAAACCTCCCCGAAGGGAAAAGGGTTTTTGGAAGAGGAAAAAAAGAGCTTGCTTTCCTCAGCCCCAGAGGCTGGTGGGATCCCCTGCTGATCCAGAGTCGGCGGGGCCAATGTGGGTCTCGTGGCAAGCGTCGTCGCCTCAGCATGGGGCCGACGGCCTGGACTGCCACTCTCCCGACGACCACGCCGCCGACGACCCTTCCCCGCCCCGTCCCCCGGCTGGTGGTGGTGGCGGTGTTCGCTGCGCTCTGCACGCCCCAGAGACGCACGCGGGAATTGTCACCCGCGCCTCCGTCGCCCGGCCGCCGCTCGCGGCGGAGGCTGGAATCCCTGCCGGAGAGGCCCTGGCGACGGCCTCGCCCTGCCTCTTCCCCTCCCGCTCCTCGCCGGACTCGGAGTCGAGCTGGGTAGGCTGTGTGTTTGTTCGACTTGTTAGTTGATTTTGGGGCATCCTTTTGGTTGAATTCACTGTTTTGGGGACTTCCCATGTTTCTTGATTCCGGCCAGGCTTCTCCGAAGGTGAGGCGTGGCCAGGTTCATCTACACCTTTGACTACTTTCTCGGCCTCTGGCCGAGGGCGTCCACCCATCGAGCAGGGTGTCGCCATCATCTACAACCTGATGCAACATGGAGAAAACATGGGTTTCCGAATGCCTGTCCCTCCACTGAGTAAGTCTCTGAAGCCAGCGATTTTATGTCCACTGCGGGGTTGCTCTCTGTGTGTCGACCTGGTCAGGGCCAGAGGGCCCTCAAGAGCAGGCGGAGGAGGTGGGGCAGCTGGAGGAAGACGCCCGTCCTGACGCCAATCGATTGGCGCAGTGGTTTCGCACCCGTTGGCCGCCGCAGGCTGTCCTAGTTGAGGGCCTTGTTGCCCCTTCCGAAGAGCGGGAGGAGTAGCAGTGCCCAAGGAGGATGAGAAGGACGAGTCATTTGGCATCTTTCCGCTCCGCCACCGTTCGGTACTTCCGCCCCGCTGGCCTTGCCATCTGGGGGGGGAGGAGGTTGACCCTGGTGGTCCAGAGCTCAGGGGGGCCCACGTCGTGAGAACGTGTCGAATGCTTTTCGGGGCTTCGAGATGGGAGCGAAACGTATGGGGACGACGCGTTGCAGCAAGCCCTAATCGTCTTGGCGGGATACGCTGTCAGTTACGAAGCGAACATGCAGTCCGTTGCCCATTTCGGGCGAGCGTCGTCCTCATTGGTGCTGTCCCCAATTTGGGCCTGCCATTGCCCCCGCTCCCCACGAGCCTCAGTCAGCCCTCGGCTTCCTTCTGTGGCTCCCTCATCTCTCGGCGGAGTCGCTCTGCGCATGAGCCCGCCGTGAGTTCTGGTGCGCACGGTTGCAGATGGGAGGGACCACCGACACCGAACCGCACCCCGTTAGCACGGCTTCAGTTGTGCCTCTGCTGGCTGTTCCAGGGTGGCCTGGTCCGAGCTGGCGGGAAGTCTCCGATACGGTGTCCAGATCGCCTGAACCTCGTCGGGAAGATGCGCCGAATCGTTTTCTTTGTCGGCCTGCTGACAGAATGAATGCCTGGGGGCGGCGAGCGGACCAGGAGGTCGAACACGACGCCAGGCTGTTCGTTCTGCAGGGCCCTCTGACGATCAGCTCACGACTTCCTCGCGTTACCGACTGGGTTCCCGCCCCCAGCGCGAGGGATCCTTGGGCTATACGGCACGACGACCCAGGGGGAGCCCGCGGGACCGACTCCGTGGCTGGATGCTCTCGCGCAGGCTGGCCGCGCGAGGTCGCACGTGAAAGGCATGTCTCCTCCTCGCGGCGTGTCGTGCAGGCGGCCCGCGGGAGCCACCGCGCAGTGCCTCCGTGTCCTCCAGCGCTCCCGCCGCCCCGTGTGCCACGGCGAGCGCCGCCAGGGCTGCGCCCCGGAGCGCTCGCTGCCGCGGCCCCTCCCTGCTTTCAGGATCTGCCGCCCCCGCGCGCAGGAGCTGAAGAACCGGGGCTACACCATCGAGGACATCCCCGAGGACGTGGAGGGCCTGCAGAAGTCCCTGCTGGAGGACCAGGACGTCGGGAGGGAGCCCACCCTCGGGCGACTTGGAGCGATCGCCCTCTCCCCCTCGCTCCTCTCTCCCGGAGGGCATCCGGAGTCCGAGCGCTGTCGTGGCCCCTACCGAGGGCCCATGTGCGATGCCCCCCCCGGCAGCATCTGGGGAACGCCGCCGCAGCCTGCGGTGTGGGCGGTGCCCGCCGGAGAGGACGCGGGCATGTCGATGGCCGATCTGAACGTGGAGTACAAGATGAGCGTTGACGAGTACGAGGAGCCGTCGGGGGAGGACGAGCGAGGACGAGCGAGGAGGAGGAGGAGGAGGAGGAGGAGCAGGAGGAGGAGGAGAAGCAGGAGGAGGAGGAGGAGGAAGAGGAGGAACGGGAGCAGGAGGAGCAGGAGGAACAGGAGGGCGGAGGAGAGGGACACCTTGAGGAGCCGAGCGCGCAGGAGGCCCACACCTGGTAGGTAGGAGGTGAGGATCGGGCCAGTGGTGGCGAGGAGGGGGGGGGAGGAGGAACAGACATGGTGAGGAAGACTGAGCATACTCATGGCGAGGAAGTGGGAGGAACACAAATGGCGAGGGGAGGAACACAAATTGCGAGGAAATGGGAAGGGAGGAACACAAATGGCAAGAAGTGGGAGGGGAGGAACACAGATGACGAGGAAGTGGGAGGGGAGGAACACGAATGGTGGGGAAGGACCGGGCATACTATGACGATGGGGATGAGGATGTCGAGGGTGGTATCGATGAGTGTGATGATGGCGATGCTAATGAGGATGCCGATGACGATGACGAAGACGACGATGCTGTGGTGAAAACGATGGCGATGATGGTGACGATGATGCTGATGATGATGACGATGATGACGACGACGATGTCGATGCTGATGATGAGGTTGATGTTGATGATGACGATGATGATGACAATGATGCTGATGATTCTGACGATGCCGATGACGACGATGACGATAATGACGATCATGACGATCACGACGATGATCATGATGCGGATGATGATACTGATGTTGCTGCTGATGATTATTATCACCATGCTGATGGTGATGATGATGCTGATGATGACGAAGATGATGGTGC